ACACACAACACACACACACACACACACACACACACAACACACACAACACACACACACACACACACACACACTATAGATTAGGATAGCATTCAGAACAGCATACTATCATACTAGTCTTACTAGTTCTGCAGTATATATACTGAGCACAGTGTTGTACTTTTTGTACAAGTGCATTTAAAAAAAAAGCTAAATAAAAAATAAAAAAGCTATTTGCCAAGGCAATAATTCTAATTTTAATTAAGTTTAAATTTACGTACTAAAATAACTAGAACTAAATAAACTAAAACTAATTTTAAAAACTTAAAACTATATAGACATATATAACACAACAAAATTATTAACACTTTAACTAAAGTTAAAGTGAAAAGAGAAAATATAAAACCCTCTATTTGAAAATATTTTTAAAAAACTATAATAGCTCATGAATGATAATAAAATAACAATGCAACAAATCAACTAAACCTAAAATTATTAAAAATTACTTTCAATTGAAAAAAAACTGAAATCAATAAAATAATAAAAAATGAAACATTTAGATGAAAACCCTAAACGTATTAAACTTAAACAAAAATCTAAGTGCCTAATAAATTACTAAAACTGAAATAAAATAAATGAAAGCTATATAAAATATTTAAAAAATGAATAAAAACAACAAAAACACACAACAATCTGACTAAAATTAAAGTGAAAACAGAAATGATGAAAAGTAAACATTCAAAATATTAAGAAAAACTATAGCTGTATTTCAATAATAAATCTATAATAGTATATTATAGTGTTAACCTAAAATTATATAAACTGCTTTCAATCGAAAAATCAACTGACATTAAATAAAAAATTAAAACATAAATATTAAATGAAAAACTGATGTAACATAAAAATTAAACAAAAATGAGAAATGTTGCCTTGACAACTACTGAAAATAAAACGGTGAAATAAAAATAAAGCAAAATAGAAATATTACTAAAACTAAAATTAGAGTGAAAATAAAAGCTAATTCAACATATGAATAAATACTGACTGACAACGAAGACATTTGTTTCACAGAATTGTACACAACATGGTCACGTCACAATGCGGCGCACTGCATACTATTTAGATTTTCAGCACAGCACCAGCTCCTCCAAACGAGACACATGAAGTAGACGCTGTCTTCAGCTGCAACTGAACGAGTCCCATTAGCGCTCACATATTAACAATCCAAACACAGGAGGGCCGTTAGAAAGAATAACAAGCAGCGGGGGCTAATCAGCGGCGAGAGGGGTGCTTAACCCCATTGTTCTCCTAAATGGGAATGTGTCTCTAATTGGCCAGTTAGGTCCCTCAGTAGCTGCCGTCTGTCCAGGGCAGTAAAGTGGCCCAGAAGGCTGGGGCCGATGCGAGCAGAGCCGGAGACTTCAGATGAAGAAGCGCCACACATCCAGACCGTCTTCAGTCATAAAGGGAGTCCAGACTGGCTTCTCATCTCAGGGGCTCCAGACCCTCAGATTTACCGTCTGGAAACACTTGTCCTCTTCTGTGCATGTAAATGTCTTCTGGGAGTTCTGTTTGATCAGATCACTCTGGTGGCTTACAGTACAAGCCTGTAGTTGACAAATAACCTGTGCATGATGCATTTAGGTTGAAATCTGTATAAATATATAAGGGAAAAATACATTTTAATAATCTTTTTACCTTCATTTTACGTGTGCAATTTAAAAAATGCATGCATAATCAGCAAAACGCTGTTTAAAATCATGCCTTGTCATATGGTAGGGCAATGCAAAATTATTTTATTTCAATTACGCATAAAACATCTTTCGGGAGTCTAGAATTAGCCATTTTTGGGACTGGAAAAGTAATAGAAATTAATACAATATTTAGAGGTCAGAGAAATGTAGTTATTTCTAGTCATTCTCACCTCTAACATATTGAAATTGTTAAAATAAATGTATTAAACTGATCAAAAATTAATTTTAATAAAACTATTATTTTTAATGAATGATTGGTCAAAAGTGCAGGAGCGCTGATATCATAGTGCATATATTTGAATACATTTTTGAGACTGAAAAACTAATAAAAATTAGCAAAATATTTAAAGTAACAGAAATGTATTTTCCCCTAGTTATTCTCCCCTCTAAAATACTGAAATTGTTCATGCGTGTTTAAAAAAAAAAATATTTAAATGACATTTTGAAACGAATAATTAGCCAAAAAGTGCAGGAACGATGACATTATTGTGTGGATGTCTGTTTACAATTTCAACTATGAATAAAACATCCTCTAAGAGTCTACAAATTGCCATTCTGTGGACTGTAAAAGTAATAAAAATCAGTAAAATATTTCGAAGTCACAGAAATGCAGTGAAAATGACTTTTCCTACTTATTCTCTGATCTGAAACACTGAAACGGCTAAAAGAAAAATGTTCATTTAAATGTCATCTTGAAATGAATAATTGGCCAAAAAGTGCTAGAACGAGACATTTATAGTGCGTGTATAAAGCTAGCACACTGGATTGGTTTAAAATTCATTTCCACAAGCAATAAAACGCATTCTGAGAGTCTGAAATTGTCATTTTTGAGGCAGGAAAAGTAATAACAATTAGCCAGAATATTTAAAAGTCACAGAAATATAGTTATTCTCACGTTGAAATGGTTAAAAGTGCATTCTATTCACCAAATAAAAATATTATTTTTAATGAATAATTGGTCACAAATTCCTGATATTACAGTGTGTGCATAAATCCAGTACACTGGGATTGATGCAACAAGCATGCTGTTTATTATACTTCAAGGAATGCATTAGAGGAAATGCATCGAGGAAAAGCCTCAGAATACTAAACGTGACCGAGCGAAAGCAACAGACAGGACTTGAGTCAGACTGCAGAAGTGAAGGGCTGTAAATGCAAATGTCAGGAGCACTAATGTGAGATAATCCAGTGAAGCACGCTGCGTTAAGAGCGTCTGAGACATTAGAGGGACAAAGCCCTGTTCCCTCTGCAGCACGAGCTGGAGGATTTGAATACGAATGCAGCCCGTCGAGTCAGATCAAAGGTGCGCCGCAGGACAGGTAGACTGCAGACAGGCTGCTCGCGACGCTCTCGCTGGCAGAGGAAGCTCAAATTGACATGCTGGAGACAGAGGAGCTGTCAGAGACGCCTGTCTGCCCGCCGGTCTCCACGCAG